CCTCGAACATCATTGAAAGGGACAGGTATGGAGGTCGCGGTGTTCTCGTTTGGGGAGGCATCATGCTTGGTAGTCGTACAGACCTTCACATCTTCGACGCAGGTTCAGTCAACGGGACCCGTTATTGTAACGAGATTCTTCTTCCATATGTGTGTCTTTTTAGAGGCGCTATGGGTCTGAAGTTCCTTTTCATGGACGACAATGCACCATGTCATCGCACAGTAGCTGCCGAACAGCTCTTAGAGAGTGAGGATATTGAACGTATGGATTGGCCGGCACGATCTCCGGATCTCAATCCCATCGAGCATGTATGGGATTTTCTAGACAGACGCTTGGCAGCTCGTACCTTACCACCAGTAACGATTCGGGAGCTTCGATTGGCGCTGCAAGACGAATGGGCAGCAATGCCTCAACAACTCATTGACTCAGTCATTCTCAGCATGGGCAGACGCTGTGAAACCTGCCTACCAGTCAGGGGAGATCATATCCCCTACTAAAGACCGGATGTTTCTTGCTGGACACCCATCACATGGATGTTTCGGCCTTCAGTCGCATTGCGCTCCATGCTACTTTTTCAATCAAGCTTCTTTTTATCCCTCTGATTTCTCTTTTAGTAAGTGTTGCTTACATTACACATGTCCTTACGTATTGGGGATCTTACGGTATTAAATGTATTGATTTGGAAAGCTTCTGTACAAAGTTATATTGAAAAAACCGTCTCGTCCTTAATTTTTGTACACCAGTGTATATGGTTTTTGTATTTTATTAATGTGGAATTTAAAAATCATATAATTTAGTCGCTACATTTCAATGAATAACATTCCATATTACAGTGAGAATAATTTCCACAATGTTCCTTTACTTTTTTCAGGCATTTACAGTAAATATAATTGTGAAATAAAGATAACTGTAATAGTGTGTTATTAACTATTAATGACATAGAAATATGAATCACAATTCACTATAAAACTATCTTTAAATTAAATTTTACTGCAGATACATTTTTAATATTTTTGGAATGAAAATAATTAACGTATATACTTCAAAGTTATTTTTAAATATCATTATTTTATTAATATTGCAAGAAATGTTTTGCAATATTTTTAATATATTAAATTTCTGTTTTAATAATATTGAAGCTGTATTGAATATTTCGAGCAAAATGAAGTCCTATGGGATAAAAAGAAACTCTCCGTTCCTGAAAAAGGCAGTTTCTTAGGACTAATCTTTATTATTTAATATTTGTTTTATATGGTATGAAGGTTTTAAGCGTGGCAACAGAAGTAAATGTAGGCAGTTATTAAAAGAATTGAAATACATGTGAATATGACATTTTTGAATGCACTTTGTAAGTATTAATTAGTTAATAGTTAACAGTTTTTTTTATAAATAGAAATATACATTAGATGATTCTGGTAGTATGCGGTAGCTTTATTGAAGTACTGATTTTTTTCCAAAGCACAAAATGTCGGATCTCTCAGATTTTCAAACAGGCCAAATAGTACGAACCTCTCTAGCCGGAGCAAGTGAGATTGAAAGATCCCAACTTTTCGGCGTTTCCAGAGATACAGTGTAGAAAGTCAGAACAGCACGCACGCACGCACAACAGCACGCACGCACGCACACACACACACGCGCACACACACACACACACACACACACACACACACACACACACACACACACACACACACACACACACACACACACACACACACACACACACACACACACACACACACACACACACACACACACACACACACACACACACACACACACACACACACACAGGGGTTCTTAATTAAATTCTCCATCTGGGCACATTTCACAATAATGAAATTGTTAGTGAACAGAGTTAAAAACTATAATGATTCCTAATATTTCTTCATTTTATTGCAATCATAAGCACCATAAACAATATCCAACACTAAAAATGTAACAAAAAATTCACAATAATTACATTTAATTCGATTTTTGGTATTGCATATTATTCACTATTGTTTAGAAGTTAATCGTTTAAGAAGATATTCCAAATATTATAGCATCTACGAAAAAACTGTCGTTAAGTCAAGATCTGATTTTCGATTTAATTATGTTCATTGTTGAAAATAATGATTCACATAAAAATGTGGAACCGAAACCTCTTTTTAATTTGCACGCTCGTTTTTTAGGAAGGAGATATTTTTATCTTCTACAAGATTCGAAATATTTTCATTGGAATTCATTTCGTCCGCACGATTTTAATACAGTATCAGCCTGGATATTTAAAATCTCAACTTCTCTTCTTATTGCAAAACAGATTCAACGACAATAATTACTGTTAAAACAAATTAGCGTTACCGGGGTACTAGTGGTAACAAAACAGTGTTGCCAGTACAATAATTTTACGGCTTAGATTTTATTGCTAAATATATGATGAATCTCGCAGCTACACAAAAAGAGTGGGCCACGGGTTGGTCACGGTTGATATTGATATAGTATATAGCGGAAAGTCGCAAGAGCACAAAAAATAACTTCACGGGGTTAAGAATTGCAGCGTGGCCAGACAAGCTGGCAAAGCAAAATATTGGACGGAAAGAAAGAGACCAGTGAGTATTAAAGCGGATAGCAATGTCTAAATTAGTGCTTCTCAAACTTTCAATATTCGTGCCCCATTAGTCAATCATTATTTTTATCGCCCCCCCATACAATAACGATGCATTGAATTCAATAATACTATATTTTTAAGCTAAACCTACAGTTTGACTTTTACCTCTTTAGTGCTACCAGCGTATATAAACGTCTCACTCAGCCAATGTGTTAATTGCGCCGGACGTATTTATACGTCTTTCCGAAGTACGGTATTGTCTGTGCACTGCTATCCATAAATTTACTCCGAAGGCTTTGGCATGCAATAAAAAGAGCTTGATTGTCTTTGCGAAGAATTTACTTGTTTCAGATTATTTGTTTCTTTATTCCTTTAACATCCCCCCTTCTCAACACATCAGATACACTCGTTTACATGTTAAGAGGTGGAATTGGGGAGCAAATGGGCAATTAAGAGATTAATTATAAACCGTATAAATTCTCAAGATAAGGGCTAATTTTTGTTTTTAATTTTATTAGTGATAAGTCTATGGGGACACTGATAATTATTAAACTGGCTCTTAACGTAGTATCTTCAAATGATTATAAAATTCGTTGCGCAGTACTGATATATTTTTAAGTGTAAATGTGTATTTCATTTTTTGTGTGCCTAATTTTAGTATATTAATAATTTTTTAAACAATCTTTCTACTTTTCAATATGCTCGTACCCCCCTTGCAGGGTTATCACACCTCCTTAGGGGGCGCGCCCCACAGTTTGAGAAACACTGGTCTAAAATGTTAACAGCTGCTGCAAAAGGGGTCGCTGAGGTCAATCAGTATCTGAGTCATTGGATCTAGTGTCATTGATTACAGTTTGAAGGTAATTTCATAAACAGAACAATCATGTCAGAGTAGCAATTACCGAGTCACCTTTCACAGATGTTAATACCAAGCATCAACTACAGTGATGTATCACTCACGAAATCTGGTCGATTGATAAGAAGAAGAAAGTAATATGGCCAGACGAATCGTCTTTCATACTTTTCCTTACAATTGGTCGGATGGACGTTTAGAGGACACCTGCAAAAACTTATGATAGTGATTGTCTACTTGTTCCTGTCACACATGAGTGTAGATCTGTCATGATGTGAGCAGCTATGTCGTGGATTTCTGCTCACTCGATCGTAATCCTTAAGGGAATGATCACTGGGGAGAAGTATAGAGACACTTGAGCTGATCAAGTCCATCCTGATGTCAATATGCTGTAAGCCTTTTTTATACATAATATAAAATTTGTCAGGATAATAATGCAGCTATACATACAGAGGTGCTGGTTCAATCATGGTTTGATGGACACGAGGCTGATGTTAAACATCTACCTTGCCCCTCACATTCCCCCAACCAAAATAAAACGTAACCGTGGTTGTCTATTGTAGAACGTTCGATGCGAAATTAATATCCTCTACCAGCATCTCTATCAGAGATTTCACAATATCTCTGAGAAAAAAATGGTACAATATTCCTTTAAACAGTATTCAACACCTGTATGAATCGATTCCCAGGCAAATGCAAGCTATATTACATTCCAAAGGAATTCCATCTTCGTGCTGATATATATAAGGTGTTCCCATTATTTTGGTTACCACCTGCAGTTAGAACAGTTTTCTTTTTCTTTTCTTTTTACTTATATTACATATAACTTAAGAATTTCATATATATATATTTAAACTGGGCAAATCACTTTGAATTATGTAATATAATGTAGGCAGTTTTCAATAGGATTTACATATTTCTCAAAACAGTTGAGTTTTCAAAATATGTGCTTTTGACCAGTATGGATACATGAATTCCGATCTTTAGCAATTTTCTCATATTAAAATGTACTATTGGAATAATAGAAACAAATAACTAAAGTAATTTTCGCAAAAAAGTAAAGTATATGTATTTTTAAAACAATAATAAAATTAAATTGTTCATAAAATGTTTAAATATTCTTAGTGAGATTTACATGTTAGTAAAGAATATTAACTCTTTGAAATAATAAGTAAAGAGCCTTCAAGTAGAAACGGTTTCTGTGAATATTATTAGGTTTTTCCCTTGTAGTACGAAGTCTGTTCAATCAGTAATAAGACTAATTTTGCTGCCGCGAAACCACTCATCAAAATGTTAATTTCTGTGGCATAAGAAAAGTTGGTTGTCTGTATTAACAAAAGCTGCCGATAGATGGCGTGTAGAGAATCACATTTTTGAGTATGACGTGCTCGAACTGATGCGTGTTTGTGGGTGCCTAAGAGCGTTTTCCTTACAATTGACATTTCTATATATGTGTTGGACAATTTTGTTTGATTGTTACTATTTATTCATTAATTAAATTTAATTATTCTAATAAAACAGTATAGTAAAAATATATCACATTATAGGAAATTAGTCCTTCCCAGGTGGGATTCGAACCCACAGTCTATGAATTAGAAGTCCAACGCGCTATCAATTGCGCTACAGGGACGCAACGAACAATTTTCCTTTATATATATGCTGTTTAACTATTATTTTTATTATTTATTCATTATTTAATTTAATTAATGAAATAATTGAAAAAACTGTATTAACAACAAGTGTCATTCACTGAGAGTTTAAAAACATGTATTTGAAATTGAATGCATGAATAGAAAGTATTTCATTAACGATGGAAAATTCGAACAACACACACACACATATATATATATATGTATAAATATAGGGAAAGAATGAACTTATAGTAGGAGCAGAAAAAATATACCTAAAATAAGACATGTAAGAAAAATCATTCAAAGATTTTTAATTTAGTGCTTTTATTATTTTGGAACAAATAAAAAATCATATTTACTCTTAATGTACTATTTTTAATTGCGCAAAATAATTCTAATTTGATGAGGATAAGTAGAGGTCAGTTTGAAAAATAGCTAAGTTTTTTCTAATTCTTTCAAAAATGTGTTAAAAATTATATATATATATATATATATATATATATATATATATATATATATATATATGTGTGTGTGTGTGTGTGTATATATTACTGCTGCATGGATTATTACTAGTGAGGGAAGGCACTACAAATTCTGCTTATTTTAAAATAAACTGTCTTTTTCGGAACATGTGGGGTTATTATTTTGAATTTGTGCGAAGTTCTAATTAACTTATCTCTCTCTTCACACACACATATCTATGTATATACATATATATTAAATTATTAGAAATAACAAACCATTTTACAAAATTCTATCATACTTTGGTGCCAAAGCTATTTTAATAAAATTAAAAAATATATATCAATACAGAGGTACAATTTTACTTATGATTTTGAGAATTGCTTTACATTAACTGATATAATTCAAGGAGGTACATGCAACTTATGATTATCTTTTTTAAAAAGTATGTTATTTTTAATGATTAATACTCAAATAAATTTATAATTGTTTATTTTAAATTAAAAAATTGCGTAACCAAAAATATATCTTATCTCATAGAGTAACTCTAGTCCATTTTGTTTACAATTATATTTAAAACAATACAGCAACTATAAACTTTTTGAAATATATATATATTTCTGCTGTACGGGGAAGGTGGATCCATAAAGCATTGCAACCCTAATTCGCTGGCCTAATTCAGCGACAGTTTTAGAAATCGTAATAGGTCTCCAGTTTAGTCCCATGACTTTTTGTATCTACATTTGTTGTGTTTGCTGAATTCCAATTTCTTACTTCTCTAGTACTGTGGGTTCTAGTTATTCTTCACTTTTATTTTATTATACTATATATGTGTGTGTGTGTGTGTAAGTAGGTTTAAGAACTTATATTTTTCTAATTTTAACCATAGATTTATGACGTTGTAAAAAAAATGCAGATGGAGAAGAAATTTCAACAAGAATATTTTTTTATTTATTTTGCAGTATCTTTTCGCATTGGAATCCAAGCAAAATCTTTTCATGGAGAAAATGCTCCCGGAAATGCCACAAAAAAATTTAGAATTCTGTACCACTTCAATTTTCTCAGGAATGAAAAAATGAAAATCCTGACTTTTGCTAAAAATACTTTATTTCATTTTTTGAAGTAAGATTAAATAAATGTATGCTGTTTGAAGTCAAATTTATTTGATTTAGTGAGTTAAAAAAATGTTTTCAAAATGAAAAGCGAAGAATAATTAGAAAAACGTAGATGCTCTAACTACCTTTAACATTTTAAATAATTGATGTTGGTGAATTTGAATTAATTTGAATATAAGTTATTTTATTGAAAGTGCCACCTAATAAAATGTTTTTTTTTTTTAAAAAATTAATTAAATAAATTTAGTTGATTCGATTTTAAAAGCATAAGTTTTGATTCCCCCCTTCCTTAAGTTTAGAAACTTGAGAATTGATCATCAGTATTGCATTCCTTAAATTTTAATTGTTTTACATTTAATCACATTCAAATTAAAAACTTTTCTCACAATTCCTTGCTCAATTTCAGAAGATAATGCAGCTAAGTAAACATTTTAGCATGTTAATTCAACTAAAATGTTCGGAAATTTGAAATATTTTTCTTCAATGCAAATGTTGCAGAAATTAAAAAAAAGGAGATAACTTTTCACCATCAATTTTCCTTAAGTAAAAGATGTATTGGATTATTTTTATTAAATAATAAATCAAAATAAAATATTAGTATGTGTTTACTTAGCCTTCTCTATTGAATGGAAATATATCAGCATGAATTAGTAATTAATTTCTTTCTAGTCAGATTTAGAAGTCATCTTTCCTGGTAAGAAATTCATCGTTTTTCGCGATTGATCTTCTCTTTTAGGACAGAATACCCTTTTTCACTTTTTGCTCTAAATATATGTCTAAGTTTTTAAAGATATTAATCTTGTGTGTGAGAAAGGTATTAGTGTTACATGACCTAAAAAACGTAAAGAAAATGAATTGAGCTATCATCAAATTCGTTAAAATTATGCTTTTCATATTAATGATACGAGTTTAAAGGTCTAGGGAAAAATGATGCACCGATTATTCTCTTTTTCTGCTCTTAATTAGTATCGTTAATAATTCTTTCCACAGAATGGAATTTCATTAATTTTTTAATATGCTTTCTATTATGCCGTAGCTTAGTTCTTTTATGCTTAGGCTTTTGGTTATTTGATTGACAATGCATTAAAAATACAATATTTTTCCCTTTATAATATCTGTAATTTCAATCAACGAAGGATGGTTCACGTTATTGAACTAGGGCCATCGACTTTTGTGATATGTTTTGATAAAATATTAAGTATTTAACTTCAACTGATTCCTTTTATGATGATTAACAATACATTTCATTAAAATAAGAATTTCTTGTTTATAAAACTTAACATTTTATGAAAGCCAAGATAGATTAATTCTGGATTAAAAAATTACTACTGAGTATTAGCTGTCTCATTTTAGTTATTTTCTTAAATAGTTTGCTTCTGTATGTGTGTGTGTGTGTGTGATGGTGCTATATTTTACACTAATTATAATAAATTTTATTAGTATTTTAAAAAAATTGGAATAGTATTTCGCTAAATGAGTTTATAAAATCAGCAACAGTGAGAAAAATTGAGAAAATTAACCATTTGACATAATTTATGAGTATTTGAAATTTTATCATCAACCTGAAAAGTTATAATGTATGATGCCTTTTTTGGCTCTAGTAATCGAAACAAATAATTTAAGAATATTTTTTTTGCCTTATACATATTACTCAATAATAATACGTTAGAAACTATTTAATATGGTATGCATTTTAGCTATGAAAATATTTTATTTATGAAATTTGCAAATCGCATACTTTTCTTATGTGTAAAATCTATCAAGAACCTCTAATTTGACCCTACGTTAGTAACTTTTCAAGACATTTGATAAAAATTTATTTTTTAAAATATTAATTTAGATATTTTTATATTACCTAAAATATATTTAGCTGCAATGATGTACGTAGATTTAGCCATATAGATAAAAACATGAACATTCAGATGAGTACATTAAGTGAACTCGATTTTTTCTAATATTCACTTGTTCATTGAGTTGAGTGGTCTGGACCATCATCTTTGTCGTTTCCTGGGCTTGGGTCCAGATGGCACTGAAGGCCCACTGGTTCTCATGTAAGTATGGTGTGAAAGTTCGGAGAGTTGGGTGTCAAATGAGATGTTATCTTTTCACTTGACTGTATTTCAAAACGAAGGTTGTTTGTTGCTTAGATGTGCTATGGTAACCCATTAGCTGTCGATTAAAAGTGTCGTGATTCGCTCCTCAGTGTCACCATTTTTCACATAGGCGTGTTTATGCAGTTGCAATGTATGCTGTATTTCCCCCTAATTGCTGAAAAGTAGCTCCGACAGCCGTGAGAAAATTCCAGTCGTTTCCCTAATTGGTGGGGGAAAATTCTCAAATGGGTGGACCAAAATTCTGAACATTTTTTCCCATGCCAGTCCGAAAGTTAAAAAGGACACCGGGGCAGTGTGTTTTCTTTTTCTCATGAATCTGTGAAGACAGCGTGTCTGAGAAGATTGAACTCACAATGAGCACCCGACAGACTTCCGCTATCGGCGGCCGACGGACAAGAGATAAAAGAGGGATTAGGTGGTGAGGGATCGTGAGAAACGAGATGTTTATAAGAAGAGAGCTGAAGAGTACCAAGATCAGACTTTACGGACAAGAGATAAAAGAGGGAATAGGCGGTGAGGGATCGTGAGAAACGAGATGTTTATAAGAAGAGAGCTGAAGAGTACCAAGATCAGAATTTACGGACAAGAGATAAAAGAGGGAATAGGCGGTGAGGATCGTGAGAAACGAGATGTTTATAAGAAGATAGCTGAAGAGTACCAAGATCAGACTTTACGGACAAGAGATAAAAGAGGGAATAGGCGGTGAGGGATCGTGAGAAACGAGATGTTTATAAGAAGATAGCTGAAGAGTACCAAGATCAGACTTTACGGACAAGAGATAAAAAAGAGGGAATAGGCGGTGAGGGATCGTGAGAAACGAGATGTTTATAAGAAGAGAGCTGAAGAGTACCAAGATCAGACTTTACTTGAGAGAACTGGTAGAGGTCTCTCTTAGCGAAAGACTTGCTATACAGATTTCCTGGAAGTCCACGAATTAAGGTGGACTTCGAACCGTGGAGATTTTGGAGTAATAACCGTATGTTGGATATAAAACCAGTGAGCTCACCCAAACTCGGTGTGGAAATACCGAGAATGAACGGATATTTGTGGACCCCTTTTAACACATCCTATGTATAGGATATTTCTCTAAGGCAGTGCTTCTCAAACTTTCAATACTGGCGCCCCCCTTTTCGATCACAATTTTTATCGCGCCCCCCTTATACATTAATAATGCATTGAATGCAATAATAATGCACTTTGACGCTAAAGCTACAATAGACGATCTTAATTATAAACCATACAAATTAGTAACATAACTTTTAAATTTTGTATACTACTTTTAAGCAAGAATAAATAAATAAAATAATA